TCTACCACTACACAAACTAATGGAACTACTCTCTATGTCACAAGTAAATCATTCACTTTAAGCCCTGCACACTCTTTCTCGACTTCTGGTCGATTACCGAGAAGCACAGGATACACATCGTTTATCCCGTTTTCCAACACACCCCCCGATCCGGCTCCCAGTCGACCACCCATTAGACTTTCCACGACAGCTATTGGTCTCCTTACTGCCCTCGGGGCCACCTTGACTTTCTTCTTCACCATCTGCATTTTCCGCTGTATTCGCCACCAAATTCAAAGCCGAAGAAAGTTAAAAGATTCGTCCTTTGACCTTTCTAACGCATCTGGGTCTATTAACGAAAAGAATGTCAACGGTAGCGTAGGGAAAAGTCCCAGCACTATTTTTGGTGGAAAGGAAAGGACTGGACTTACGCCCCACCCAAGTTGGATTACATTCAACAATGTTATGGGAGCCAGCCAGGACCAGGATAGGTCCACGACATCTTCACCCTATCCACTTGGGCTGCTCCCCCCCCCCTGCAGTCCGGCGCCAACCGTCTCTTCGCGGCCAAAACGGGCTTGGTCTCGGCGTTATGCAGTACACAGCTGTATATGATAACCGTGGCGCTTACGGTAACACACGATACAACGCATATGCATCTCCAGGCTCGCTGGCGCCTTCTAACCCTCAGTTCTGTCCACCTACCATCACTATCACCAGCAGCAGTCCTCGTTCAAGTTTCAACGGCCCTGTATCAAGATCACGAACCACTAACGAGACTACTGACGTATCACCATCCCACTCTCTGCAAAGAGTTAGTGTCTACGATCATCCGGCTTATGGAGCTCAACTAGTTACTGCGCCAAAATTGAGGGTAGTCGGAGAGGAAACAGACAGCGCTACAAGAAATAGTGGGTGGAGTAGTTGGGACGATGGAGTAGGGCTCGAGATGGGCGTGAAGCTTGACAGACGGGTATGTGTATTCGAAATTCTTCGCATGACTTCAGTAACTGACCCTACTTCCTGGTATAACAGCATCCGGCACCGAAAAATCGTTTTAAATCTCGAGCTTCCAAGTCGAAGCGTGGTCTAGAGCCTATGAGGCCCACGTTACAGACGGTTATAGAAGTGGAAGACGTTTCCGAGGTAGAAGACTCGGCTAGAGAAAATCCCTCGTCTAGAAATGGTTCCCACGAACAAAATATGCGAACATACAGTCGTCCTTCGTATTCTTCGCGATCTCCTTCCTCCCCACTTCGCTCAAGTCCGAGGAGCCTGAGAAATGCGAGTCCACGAACGGTCAGAAAAAACAGTGGCGGGAAAGATACCACCTTGCTATATGACATGCCCCGATTTTCTGACTCAAGCTCGAGTGTTCCACCAGTCGGCAAATTTACGTCGTCGAGCGATGAGAGTGGGGCTGGTCCAATTTCCTCTTCCTCTCCTTCACCCAAACGAAGAAGTGCGTCTACAAGAATACAGTATCAGGATTTCGGTAGTGGTACTTCTGCTTCGGCCAAGCGTAGATCCCGACGGGCCTCCCGCGCCACACCAACTCAACCCTCTCCGACGCTCACAGATGTCCTAGTGGACGCCTACTCTTATGTTCGTACATATGCTGTCTCCGATGATGAATCGGGGGAACAACCTTCGCAAAGGCCCTTGAAGCGTAGTAGCACATCATCGAGGAGAGCTAAGCGCTCATCCCGCAGAAAGTCGTCAAGGAATCTCCCAGCCGGTATCTCTTGTACACCCGAGGAGCCTTCTCAAGTGCATTCTCGAGTTGGTACCCTCATGCTCACCGCTTATGGAGAGGAAGGGGGACTTGTAAATGGCGTCTCGAGTCCCAGCATTCCGCGATTCGATGGCAAGGGAAAAAGACACGCAGAGAGAAGATCATCGAAGGCTGCTCTGGCGGAATCTACCAACGAAGCTCGATACAATCGTGCACGGGCCATCAATCCGCAGGGGTACACTTCCGAGCATTCTTCGCCACTTCGGACTGCGGTCAAACTAAGCCAACGTGACATGTATTCCACGACTTCGACCGAAGGGGCCAGCAAACCGGGTAGATCGCCTGCTGTCACCTGTTCTCCGGAAAGCACCTACTCGACCTATACACAGCGGCCCGCCATTCAAAGTTACTATAAAAATGTGCCTTCCTTACCGCCACTCGGCCAGCCGTCTCTCCATCAACTAAAGCTCATGCGAGATATGCCAGACTATCGGAGCCCCACGTATAGTATCTATGGCATGTACCGCGATGCTAATAGAGATAGCTCATGGGGAAATGGGGTCTCGCAGTATGCACCACGGATTTAGTGTGGCGAAAAACATGGACGGGGATCATCTCAAAGTGAATAAGATTCACAATATTAACCATATTAGTACCAGACATTAGTTATGTATTAACAATGGAATACAAATATTGGCTGGACATCTCAAAGGCTGACAGAAACCAAGTTACGAGTGCGAGGATTCACGTGAATAATCTGGAGGTCCGATAGGTTGAAACGAGAGACAATGGTTCCGAGATCTCTCCTGCAACAAGAGTGGCGCTAACTAGACTCTCGCAGACTGAGGGTCAATTGTGAAGATTCAAGCAACCTAGCCTGATAGTTCATATGTTCTGGACCGACTTTTCGACTCTTGATACCGTATGTTAGTATTACACGAACATTCCATAGACAACAGCGGTAGATTGAATAGTCGTATATATATGATTAGTATGGTGATCTTGTGGG